GAGTACCTGTGGCACTCTAGTCCGTGCCGTAAGCTTGCTGTTTAATGAGGGGCGCAGAGGGAAAGACTTTAGCTACCTTAACGTTTTCTTTCCTTTCAGACTATATGAAGAAGGAAGGGAAAGCATTCCTGAGCATCCGTATTTTTTTGAGGTAACATGTGAAAATGCAGTCACGTCACCCGGGTCTGTATGTTTGAAAAGCGCAGCCGTCCCTCAACAGCTGAGATGTGTGCGAGGATATGACGGGAAATGGAAAGTTTACCTCAGGAATTCCTCTTTAGTTCTACCTCAGGGCGGAGGAGACCCAGCTACCAGCGCGCCGCCCTCCCCGGGCAGCGCCAGCCTTCGCCTCCCTGCTCCGTTCGCTCCGTTCCCCCGGAGTTTTTGCGCCTGTGGACCGTTAACTTGTTTAAAAGGGCTGTACGGATCGAGTACACGGGGAGCGGTATGGGATGGGGCTCCTGAAGTGCAGAAGTGGCGGTGTAACCTCAGCCAGCGAGTAAGCACCACACAGCTGCTCACACCCCCCCTCCCCAGTGGGATGGGGAGGAGAATCTGAGGAAAAGACAAGGGAAATTGGTGGGTCGAGATAGGAATAGTTTAATAATTGAAAGTAAGTGAAATAAAATAACAATGCTGGTAATACTAACAAGGCTACTAATATGTAATGAGAAAGAAAACAAGTGATAACAGCCGCTCACCACCCGCTGACCAAAGCCCAGCCCAGCCCCGAGCAGCGAGAGCCAGAGCGACCATGACCTAGCAAAGCCAGACCCAGAGTGAGAGAGCCCTCCCGGCCTGTTCCCCCCAGCTTACATACTGAGCATGACGTTTTGTGGAATGAAATTCCCCTTTGGTCAGTTTGGGTCAGCTGTCTGCACTGTCTTCCCTCCCAGCTTCTTGCTGAGAGGACAGGGGCAGTATCTGAAACTGAAAAAGTCCTTGATGTGATATAAACATTGTTTAGACAACTGAAAAAAGTATGTTATCAATATTCTCAGCACAACCAAAACACAGCCTCATACTAGCTGCTGTGAGGGAAAACTACCTGTACTCCCATGAAAACCAGCACGAGGAGGCACGGTGTGTGGCTGCGGGGAGGAGAGGAAGGAGCTGCTGCAGCGGCTGCCCTTCTCGGCACCTGTGTGGCTGCACTCGGTATTTTCAAGCTTCAAACCTGTAGCTTCTGTTGGCATGGTTTTTATCTAAGTACTTTTATGGGGAATGGAGTATCTGTATGAAAAGAGCAATTGCTTCTAAAGGCTTTTGGAGCATAGGAATGGCTGGAAAATCTCCAGTGCTATTTTGTTGTATTAATCTTGGGGTTTATGCAAGTTTGGTGATGGTTTGAAAATAAAATCAGGTGAGTTTTTAGGTATACAGTAATGTGAAAACCAGACTAGATGTGAAGAATCCAGCAATATGTCTCGGTGTATGGAAAATCCTGAGTAAAGGCTGATCCTCCTTTGTTCCTAAGAACAGGTTTGAGTTATTTAATGTCTCCAATGGGTGTTTAGAGCTCTCGTGAGACCTTCAGGGAAGCGAACAATTGATATTTAATGTCACTTTAAATGAGTATTCTCCACCTCAAGGATATCTGGTGACTGCAGTCGCTCCTTGACAGCGATGATGTTATCTCAAGTTTTGGTCATCGAACCAAACTTCAGTTTCTTGTAGAATCACTCTGTTAGAGACTGAATTTTCTCTGCTGGCTCGTTGAAAGTTGTTGCTTTCTCACAGTTTATTTGATTCCACCTGTGGCATGCAGTAAGTGTGTTCTGAAGTAAGGAAGCCTTAGATTCATGAATGGTTGGAAAACGGTGTGTGGAGTTGGTTAGTTTTGCAATTTCTGGTATAAAAAATTGCTGAAATGCAGCGTTTATCTGTAGTGTATTACAAAGTTTTAATTTATTTTTTTCCAGACTGATGTAGAGATCTGTTTGATTGTTGGTACTTGCAAAAGTCCCGTTGAAAGATTTTGGACTGGAAACGATATGCTATATGTCCTACAGAAAGCAGTAAGTGTGTACGTTGGTTCTTAAGTTTTGTAACGTAATCTAGACTTTGGATGGCATCAAACATTTTCACATAACTTGTATTTTTTGCCTTTCCTGTGCATTTCTCTTGAAGCAACACAATGAAGAATGTGACTCAGTGGAAGACTCAAAATCAGATGATGCTATTTATGCCTCCGAGCTTTTACCAAAAGAGAGTTCTGGACCAGCGGCTCTTCCTGTCAGAAGAGCAAAGTAAGTGTCAAAGCTCTGCCACCCTTTTGGTGTAATTTTCTTTGGTGACTCTTGTCTCTCCTCCTACTATTCAGAACCTGTATTATTTGCAGTCCCCAAAAATTGAATTGCTCATTGGTTTAGTGAGGAGATATGACCATTTCTTACCCTGCAGAACAGCCTCCCCTGGCTAAAAGTATTCCTAACTAAGTGTAACTGAAGTCAAAGTACTGGCAAAGCACCTGTGAGCTGTCCCATCAGGTCAGGGGGGCTGTCTGTGTGTGGGTGAGCCAGGACAGCTTACCAAGCCTTCAGTGCTTGGTTTTGTAAGGCTTCTTTAAACAAAAATAATCTGACTGGGGTCTTGGGCTGTCATTAAAATACCAAAGCATGATACCAAAACACTGACTAGTTTATCTTTTTAACATGCTTAAAATGTGAAATTCAGTTATGATTTCAGAATCATTAGTCTAAATTAAAATATTGCATTAAATATGTCCTCAGTTATGATATCTTACTTCCTCCTTTGTGACTTCATTACTCTATTGCAAAAAGGGGGTTGTAATACTACATTGTTTTTGTGGAATGATGTCTGCTAAGGAAGCGTGGTAGGTAGGAGTTTTATCCATGGGACAGATTTAGCTATACGTGCTGGGTTCTTATTTTCTTTTTCCTGATCCTATTTCCAGGCAGTTGATTTCCTTATATACAATGGTACAAAATCCAAACATGACCCACTTGAAGCTAAGTGAACTGGTTGTGCTTCCTCCCCTTTGGATAAGGTGTGATGGTTCCGATCCTGAACATACTTGTTGGCTTGGAGCTGAGCCTCTCAGAGCTGGAAACAAAATCACAGGGATGAACTTCTATATGGTCACGTGTGACGGTAAGGTTATAACGGTACACAGGAAGTTAAATGCTTACAACTGTGGGAATATTGATGTAGTGATGCTCTGTCCTTTGTGTGATGTTGCCTTGGTGCTGTTCTATAGTCTTGTTTTAAAAAAAAAAAATGAGGGGGGAGGGGAAAAAGACAGAAAAGAAAAGGTGTTTTTAGCCCATGCTGTGTGGGGTAAATAACATTTTAATGTACTTAATGCAACGGTATCTGCAGGCCTGCGTTCGCTCAGGTGCAGTAACAGCAAGTTAACAGTGCTACCTTTCACCTTCTTGTCCAAGCTCTGACTCTTACGGAACATTTATGTGCTAACACCAGCTTTTATTATCAGTAGGACAGAAGGCAGGCATCCTTCCTGCACTGAAAGGACAACAGGAGTTGCACTTGGAGTATTTGAGAATTAATTTTACGTGCCAAATTTTACGTGTCAGATGTTCTTCTGATTCTTACTTTTTTCTTTTCCTAGGTCCTACAGCTGACAAAACCTGCTTTGCAAACCTGGAAGAGCTCAAAATGGCACATAAAATCAAACATCGTTCATCTCTTGTAGGTTTTTACGGTCTGCCATGCCTCCAGTCTAAGTTGAAAAACTCTGCTTTTGGATTTGGGCTGCTGGTTTTGGAAAGCTTTGCAGATTCTGTTTAGAAACTCCCCTTAGCATGATTCTATAGTAAAATAGTCTGTTTTGCAGTAACATTTGAGCTCCCTATGTTGTAAAGCATTTATCTGATATTAGCCCTTCTTTCCTGCGTGTGAAGGGCTTTAACAATTACTTTGTGTACATACCAACCCATCAGTGTTGTGGTGGTTTGTTTGGTGTTTTGTTTATTTTTACTCTGTTCGTTCTAGGTGATGACAAAAGGATTTGCTCAGTATGAACTTATCAGAGCTGCTGCAATAGAGGACACAATTGTAGAATCTGAAAGCAATATATTTGTCGATATTACATGGAATACTGTGGATAAGATTCTGGAGACACCCCCACTAATTTCAGCTGCCACCCTGGTAAGTCAAGAAGGAAAAAGCTCTTCCCACAGCTTACACCACGAGTAGTGTACAGGGTAGAAAAGAAGTTTGACTCCTGACATTTGTGTGTTACCCTTTATATAAGCAAATCTATAATATATATAATGCAATGTGTTCATAAACTAAGCTATAAATCATGCGAATATGCATTTTGCTAATGAAAATTCTAGGATGCTTGATTTCTAAAGTCTGAAACTGACATAAGGTTCTGGAACTTTCAGAACATAACACTGGAGTCTGGGGACCCCAGAAGTCCTGTGTATCAGCTGTACAGAGAACTGCAGTTCCTCCTTGTAAGTATAAGTGAGAAATCCCAATTTCAGATTTACATGGAATGGTGGGTTTTATATATTAATAATTTATGTCATCAGATGTTTCAAAGGTAACTTTAAGCTCCTATTTTAGAATAAACTCTGAGTTCAGTTTTAGGGATCTTGAATACAAAGAGGACAAGTCATGAACACCAAAGCCAGGAAATTCAAGAAGCTTCTAAATTCACAGTTAGCTGCTCAGAGGGACGTATGCTTCTTGGAAACACTGGCTACAGTTTGAAGTATGACACATGCAGGGACTCAGACTAGAATTGATTTGTGGTGTTTTGGTTTCGGTGCTGCCTTTAGGCTTTGGCTGAAGGTTTGAAGACGGGTGTCACCGAGTGGCCTGAGCCCGTGGAGTCTGAATCAGCTGTTGAACTGGTCCAGGGATTTCTGACTGGTAAATGCTGCTTGTTACAAGGGGAGGGGGGATGTCGTATTTCACAGAAGGGAAAGGAAATTCCACATACAATTTTTAAAGTATTAGAATTAGAGATGTTAATTTCCATGCTGTAACCACCTACACAAGGTAGTTAAATAAGTTAGTCAGTACATCTCTGTCCTTCTTCTTTGCCCTAATGTCTTGTATAAAAGCTATGATTTTTTCCTTATCAAGTGACATGATTACGTTTAAAAAGCAACTGAGAGAGTTCTGGATGCGTCTCTCAAGTTATCTGACATGCACAGGTACCTCTGAACATGCTAAGTGTCCCTTTTGTGGTGGAAAACAATACTTTGAGATCTTAAAATGAAGCATCCAAAATTACTGATTTCTTCTGAAAACTGTTGTGAAAAATATGTGTCTCGTCACAAGTTTAAGGTAATAGAAAACAAATCCAAAAAGAGAATCAGATGTAGGAATGAACTAAGAGATTCTCAAATGCAATAGTAACTTTTTAGTATGTAGATGAAACTTGACAAAAGACACAACAGAGGAAAGAGAAAACAGACAGAAACTCTCAGATGAATACATGTGGAAGAAAACCAGATCACCTGCTACCCTTTACTGCTTCCACACTGGGACTTAACGAGTTAATGCTTACATAAGAGAATGTAGTGAAGGTACATGGGGAAAATGTGTAGCTTGTCATAGAAAATATTAAGAAATTATCTTTTCAGACTGTGTGCTTACCCAGGAAGAACAATTTAAAAATGGCTCAGTTCTATCAGCCATCCAGCCAGTCTTTGTTAATTATGATGTACCTGGGGGTTTGTACGATTGGTTTGGTGATTATTTTTTTTTCTTAGTGATGAAATTTATTTTTCTTCTCTATTAGATTTAAAGAAGAAACTGGATGGATATTATATGTCTGCAAACAATGATGAAACAGAGGTATATGCAATTTCCTGCCAATTGCCTTGCCATCTCTTTTCCCTTATAACTAGTTATTTCAGATTTTGACTACGTCTCGTATATTATTTGTGCACATACGTAGATACATAGGCATAAAGATGTAAAGAAAGACAGATCTCTTTCTGCTGTATAAAAAACAATGGAAGAAGGCCTTACAGGCAAAATGAAGAATTCCATGTCTGTCCTCTAGTAGAAAGTCCACTCTAATTTTTACCTGCCCAAGGACTCCCTCTTTTTTAGATGCAAAATGGTCTACCAGTAGGACTTGAGTTGATAAGGTCTTTGAATCTTAGGTGTACTTCTTTTACTTAAACTCTTTCAGAAAATCAAATGTGACACGGCTGCAGTGGACAGCACAATGAAATCAATCTTCAGTGAGCGAGGAGACCTGGATTTTACTGAACAATTATGGTGCAAAATGAGGAGTAAGTGCATTGTGGTATTTTAGCCCATCTGCTTTCCTTCAATTCTTCAGCTCTCTCTCTCTGCTGTACTGGCTTGCTCTCTCAGTGATGTGAATAACAATTTCAGGGGTTTACGAACTGATCAGCTTTTTGGAAAATTGTTATCGACAGGCTTAAAAAATTAACAAAAACCAGTGCAATCTGTCATTTCAGCGATCATCCTGTCAGTGAGGGGGTTTGTTCTTGCAGGCGTGTTGTCCCATTGTTATTGACAACAGCTAGAGAGCCAGCCTGGATTAATAGATAAAAGATTGCGTCTTTTTTCTTAAGGTGTCAGTTCCTATCAGGAGTTGATAGAGTGTTTCACACTGGTCATAAAATCCTTGGAACACGGTGAGATACAGCCATGGGTACGTATTTGTATTTCACAGTAAATTGTATCATTTTGAGTTGTTTGAAGTAGAATGTACTTCTTGTCACTTAACTGCTCCTCATTTCTGTGTTGCGTTGTGTTTAAACTCCTTTCACATGTCACAGTTTGCTGCTGTTTCCATGGGATTGTACTTCTAAACGACATTTATGGTGTTTTGTGCGCTGTTACGCCACAAGGAAACTTTTCTAACTTTTAGATTCATCAAGGGAGTAGCAGTTTGCTAAGTAAACTGATTCAGCAGTCTTACCATGGGAAGGTAGAGGTCGTTCCCCTCGCTGGCATCACTCCAGTTCAAATGCTCTTGGAGATTGGTTTGGATAAGATGAAGAAGGATTATGTCAGTTTTTTCATAGGTAAGCCTGAGATCTGTTAGAAACTCAAGATAAAAGGTACTCCAGTCTAGAAATAATGGATTTTTTGGTAACGTTGATCTCACTGCTGCTCCCACCTGCCGAAGTGCAATTTCTGGCCTCCCTAGTAACTGGCAATTGTATATGGTTTCAAAATGGAAAAAAAAAAAAAAAAGAATTTGTTTCAAAATAACTCTGGCTTGCATAACCGTGTATTTATTTTCAATTTGAAAAAACCCTTTAGGCTAAATTTCAAGGAAAAGCAATGCCAGATTTAGATGACTGTGGACTGTTTTGTTTTCTTATCTGTTTGCTGTAGGTGAAAAAATAAGACCCTCACGCTCTTTCTATCTTTTTCTTTATGGGCTGCATGGGTTAAAAGGAAATCAGGCAAGGGTATTTAGATGTAGTAGCTGTGTTTGTGCAGTCTCATATTTAGAAAGATATTTTTGGTCACTCATACATATGCCTTATACTCCACAAATGTGGAAAGATTTTTGTAAAGTGCATTTTTTTCTTGAAAACATTGTGGCTTTGTTTTTGGTGTTATGGCTTTATTTTTTTTCTGAATCTGTGGCAGGGGATTGTGCCTTACTGTTGTTACGTACTTCCTTTTCCTTCATCTCTTCACCTCTCTGTCTCCTCATCCCTTTTTTGCTTTATCATCCTGTCTTTGTTCTCTGTTTCATTTGCTTTTTTATTTTCACTATCTGTAAAGCTGTCTGTCTCAAAGAGGGTGGTCATCTCCGAGTGTGTGGTAGGTTTCTTCATTGTGCAGCCTTGGTGGTAAACAAGATTATGTCTCTACCATGCCATTTCACGTGTTCTTTCCTGCTTTGAATGCGTAATCGTGTCAATAAATAGCGTTGTTGCCCCAGTGTCTTTGTGCTTTTCTTTGGTAGAGTTCCCTGTTTGATTACCTGAATGTTGCTTATTTTATCTGACACTGTGTAGTAAATTATAATTTTTATTTTTATCCCCCCGCCCTTCATTTTACAGGCCAGGAGCTCGCAACATTAACCTACCTGGTGAGACACTTTATTTTCATTGGTTTTTACTCGGAAAGCAGCATCTAGTAGAGCACACTTAGCTGATGGGGGGATCATATTATTCCTGAAAGCTGAGACACTGAGTTGCAAATCATGAGGATGAGGCAATGTACTGACTGCAGAAATGTCATTATGTGGTCTCCTTATTCATGTGTTAACTCCTGGGTATCTGCTACAGGCCCTTGTCAGGACAGTGCCATTCTGTCGATAGCACAGAACTTTGTTCTGACTCCACTGGGCCAGTCTTAAAATTTTGGCTTCTCAAGAGCAGCAGGAAAATCGTTTTAGTATGCTGAGGATGTGTTGTGTGTCTGTAGAAATTAAGAGTCCAGTTAAGAGCGGGAACTGTTTGCTGTTCCAGGATTACTTCATTTCCACATCAGTAGATCTGCAAGAACAAGTTCGTCGTGTTCAAAAGCTTCACCACATGCTGGAAATAATGGTCAGCTGTATGGTCTTACTTCAGTTTAAGCATGAGAACCTCTTCCCTCTGACACAGTAAATACTGCATTTTTACTTCTTGCTCTTTAAATGACAATAACAATTAGAGTCTCTTTGGCAGTTGTAATGAAAAAAAAAGGCAACCCTTAATGTTGATGATAATCAGGCTGCAGAAGCAGCAGTTGGTATTCCTGTTAAATGTTGCTTTGTGACTAAAATTGAAAATCAAAGGAAAAATAGAGTTTGAGAGAGTTTTGCACAAGGTTGACTCAGTGTTGCGGAAGCATTTCTCCAAAGAAAGTTAGTAACTAGCTGATTCTCATTGTAGAATTTGCATGAAGTATTACAAGGAAAACCCTGTAAATGAGAAGCATGTGTTTCAACTGCCCATCCGACCTGCACTTGTCAAGAAATTCTATCAAAAGTAAGAGAAACGTCAGTTTTTGTAGCATTAAAATTCAGGTGTGACTGAATTTTGACATTTCCTGATCATTCTTTCAGTGACCACCCAGAAATATGGAAGGTGGACATAAGCAGTGGGCATGGACAGAAGGAGGTTAAAACAACGTGGCAAGTTAGCACTAGTCCTCCCGCTGAGCACCTGGCTTCAGCCAATGCAGGTACGGAGTGTTTGTGCTGCCAAATGTGAAACGTGTGATTTTGTTACTTCTGCTGGGCTCAGGTCTGAACTTTCCCTTGTAGCTTCAGCAAAAGCGTAACGATGCTTTGCCTTTTAATAAAAAGGTGAGATGGTACTTGAAGCATGTAAAAAGGTTTACACAAAGTGGTGACTTTCTGCTTTCTCGCAGCATTATGTTTGAGAGTTAAAATGACAGAATAGTTCCAAATATGACATGATCGTTAAATATTCTGTGCAGAGTCTTCTAACCCATTTCTAAACTCTTTGCCAGTGTAGCTGAATGGGTTTGAAGAGGAATCTACCTGTTGTTGAGTGCTGGCTGTAGTCGGAGAAGCAAGCAGGAAGACAGGTCGATCAAATGTAGAACACGTAGAAAAGCATGAGAATGGGGAAGAATTAAGCCTGTAGACTGGTGTAGGAATAATTTTCCTTTTTGGGGTGAGGTTTGATACAGGGTAATGCTTTGGTAAAGCTTTCCTGTCATTCTCAGTTTTGTCATGACATGCTCCTTTCAGTAAAACTGACGTTTTGTAACCAGTTTTTGAAGCTGCTCCATGAACTCATCTCTACAATTTCTCTTTCTAAGAATAGTGGCTAATCACATCTTTTTCTTCTGTCTGTGCAGGTCTCTTTTCTGATTCCACGGTTAACGGAAGCACTGAAGAAAGAAGCTACTTTATCACAGTGGCTCAGTGCAGTCAGGTGCATTTCACATAAACGCATGTCGCTCCCCAGGCAGGCACGTAAAGGTACAGTAAAGGGAAAGCTCGGCATTGTCTGTGTCCCAGTGGTATCTTTAGAAACACTCTGATTTGAAGAACAGTACATCTTAGTGCATTATTTGCTTTCATACGCCTGAAGTGTGACATAGGCAGCCATAACTCATCCGTACGCATCTAGTTTGTTTATAAAGTTCTGCAGTTACGAATGTACAGTATAATTATTGGGAAAATATACTTGGTATTTTCAAAACATTCAATAAAGTTCTACACTTGGTTGTTTTAAATTTGATTTTTATTCATGAAGAATGCAATCAGACACTGTTCCAGGTGTGAATTATCTTAACCCAACAAAACAAGCAGTACCGTCGTGTTTTCCTGGTGTCAAGTGACGTTTCGTCACCCAGAGGTGAACTTGGGACAGTTTGACTTCTTTGTCCCTGTGTTTATGTTTTGGAGTATTCCTGGATGTACTTCTCTCTCCTTGAAATTCACTTTTTTCCCCTCAATGCCAAGTGAATTATTTTAACAGTGGTGTTTTGTATACTTCTTGCACAACCTTTTGAAACAAAGGTTCGGTGTAAGTGGCTGGGCGTAGTCACTTCAATCTGTTGGATGACAGTCGGTACATTCTTAGGTTGATTTGGTAGTGTGACTTTGAACAATTGCATGGTGTAGTATATGCTGATCAAATAATTTGAGACAGAAACGTTTCGCATAAAAGAAACTATTAACTATTGGTAAGTAAGAATAAGGAAAACCCCAGTATTTATGCTTTTTAATAACTATGCACTTCTGTCACTTCTGGGTCTTCCTCAGTGAATCTTGTTTCTTATCCCTTTCCTAATATTATATCTTAATGACTGTCAGTTTAATGGTTATAAGCCTTTGAAGAGAAGCTAAGAACAAGGTCCTTTTTTTGATTTTTAATCACTTGAAATTTGTACTGTCCAGATTTGAATCACTTTAATCTTAGCCGACTATTTTTCTGGTGTATAGTAGTTTCCAAAATAATAAGAAACAGAAAATCTGCTACTTAAAATAATAGAAAGTAATGCTGAAAGAAAATGGACTTTGTGTTTTGATTTAAAAAAAAAATTAAAGTATATATTGAATAGAAAACACTACAGAAGCACTAGGTGGATAGGGAAAGCAGTATGTTTTTCACAGTGCCATAAAGAGGCATCTGTGCTAAACTTTAACCAATATGATAAAAGAGTTGTGTTTGATTTATTATGCAAAATGATGTGAAAGCGTGCAATTTTAACTACGATTTCGAAGGTAGATTATTAGTAGGACAATGATGATGAGCATGCAGAGTGTGAAAACAGTAGGAAGAACAACCTCTGTCACCATTTCCATGTGAGTAATCAGGGAATCTGAAATGTGAGAAAGAAGTAGTAAGTAAGAACTTTAACATTCTGCAGTATACTAATTGTTAACTTAGCGCTAACAGAAAACAGATTTTTTGAACATTATTGACTAAAATTATTTTGTTTATGTTGACGTTGGCACAAACAGCGAACAAAACAAAACAAAATGTTTCGTAGGTCTGCAAAGGCCAGAGCAAATCCATGGCAGTTTTCCCTCTTCTCTTTTCTGTCTAAGGTCCATGCTCAAAGGGCTGCAAAAGTTGTGAATTACCTCCAGTGCACAGCAGGGTTCTACTGCTCCTTTGATCTTTATTCCCCTCCCCCCAAGGGAAGGGTAGAAATTTTTGGGAAGCTCTTTAGCCTTTTTAGGATTGTTTTGTAGCTCTTTGAAAAATTAAATGTGTTTTTATTTTGTAGAATTTTACTCCACGGGTAAGCTTCGAGGAGTTAAGTAAACGCAGTTAACACGCAGAGTGTACAGCTCGGCAGCTGAGTCGAAGTAGGATAAGCTTGGGATGACAGCTTTGATGCTTTCCATGATGTGGAATTTCTTTCATCCGTCTTAAGAGGCTTTATAATACTTACTTCATCTTTTTTAAAAGTTTTGGAAATGCACTGCGGTTGGCCGTTCTCCTGGTTCGGGCACCGTAAAGGTCCCAGATTGCACTGGGAAGGCCTAAAGTGAGCAGGATTAGCCTGGCACGGTGGGAACTGCAGGCAAAGCCTGCTGTACTGTGTGTGTTCTTGAGCAGCCGCTCCAAGTTGGGCTGCTGTTGTGCGTTCAGAGAGAACATAACCTGTTAGGACCTGCTAATAGTGGTATTCACAGAGATACTAAAAATCTGAAAGTTACAGAATATGCTTTGATAAAACGAAGCAGAAGACACATAATTACCTGTAGCAAGGAGTTGGTGTGTGGTAGAGCAGGTGTCCATGGCCTTCCGATACCAATTCTCCACCTGAGAAGGTTTGACATGTCACAGTTCTGTTAGACTGTAATATTCTGTCTCATTCACAGCAGCTTCTTCCCTGACCCTGAACATTTATCCACTACAGTTGACTTAAAACTGGTTTATTCTGTCAACATGCGATTTTCTGGAAGTGTCTTTGGGATTTTTATTGCAATATATTTCTGATAGTTAATTGTTTAATAAAACTTTTAAAAGCACATAAAATATTCCATATTATTCCAATAATATTCCATATTATTTTTGAATAAGGTAGCACGTATGTGTAATTTTCTGCCTAGAAATCTGACAGAGCACTGGTAATGTGACTCAGAATTTTTGATCACCTCACTAAGTCCAGTTAGGATTTGTGAAACGGTTTAGAAACAGTAATTGAGGGTGTTTCCACTTCCTCTGCCTCCGGAGGCCCGTGTATTTAACACATCCCTAATCTACAGAACTAAAGTGTCGCTTCCTGTGCCGTATTTGTGCAGGTTGTTCCATGGCATTCAATGTGACATTTGCCCATATATCCCCAAAAAAACCCCAATAAGACTGTCAGTGGACATCACCTCTCTTGGATTTGGGAATCCATTTGCACTGATCATCTTTTTGTAATAGTCAACGGATGCCTTTGGGTATCGTGGTTTGTTTTTGTTGTTAAAATCGATGTGATAAAATCCAAATCTTTCCGAAAAGTCTTTGTTCCATTCAAATTTATCCAGCAGTGACCAGGCAGTGTAACCTTTGACATTAACACCGTCATTTAGAGCTGTGAAGAGAATACAAACCATTCTGTTAAACGGGGGGCCTATGCTGGTTGTCCCTAAAATATGGTTCTGTAGATATTTTGGGTTACTCCAGAAAGAGATGGGGAGGCAGGGGGGAGGACAGAAAAATGGCGAAGTATAAAGTAATTTAGACCCTTTGAAAATGTTCTCTTCAGCTTAGAGGCACTTGAACTCTGTAAGAATGGTAATCAGGCACAATTTCTCCTTTCTAGAAGTGGAAACGGATGATCTGTTGCAGTAGTAAATCTCGTGTAGGTTACTGTCTTTATTAGCATCTGTACGCTCGGCTAGGTTGTCGTTTTTGTGAAAATTGATGAGTCTAGAGTTTGCTGTCCGTTTTGACCTGTCAGTATTTATTTCTCTATGACGTAAATTACAACAGGAAAAAATAATCAGAAGGTGAAAACGCTCAAAAAGCTCATGCACTGAAAAGATGTTTTTGAAGTTACCTTTCAGTATTTCATTAACATATCCTTTCAGATACTCTATCCGCCATTCATCACACAGCTGAGTGCACTGTACCTTTTCAGAAACTCCATTCTCTGTCACATAAATGAGGGGGTTCCCATACTGTGTCTGCAAACAAAGGCAGGTTTAGGCCCGTTCGTGTAAACAGAATCATCTTGTTTTGACAGAACATGAGATTCTTAGCAAAATGCATCAAAAGCAATTTTCTAGATTTACTTACAATTGCCCGTAGTAAGAAAAATGTGTGACTAGGAATTTAAGTTAACTGTGGGTTTTGTTTTAAAATTAATGAATTCTAGAGTTTTCTGAACTGAAATTAAGGGGGTTTTTTTGGCAAAGAAACTTCCCAAATACATAAATGAAACTGTTGAAAATCTAGATTAGTGTAAGTGCAGCTTCTGCACGTGTCCAGACAGTTCACGTTCACTTCCTTTCAAAGGTTTCCCCTGTAATCACCTTAATGAAGTTGAGCAATCTTCTGAATCCCCACGGCACAGAATATAACCACTTGGCTCCTGGAGCTGGCCATGTTGGGTCCACCAGTTCAGCCACATCACGGTCAGTGTGATAACTGGACACTTGCAGAAAGGGAAAGCTCTTCGGTATAATGTAGCGAGTAGTAAAATGACCTATTCCCAGGAAATCCGATGTGCCTTTAATATAGGTTTTCTCTTGCACTGAGAAAGTTGGTAATCTTGATGTCCCCAGGCCCTGCTCGGCGCTCTTCCTCCCTACCGAAATACAGGAAACATACTTCTGAGGAGCACAGAAATGTGTTTTCTTTGCCTCGCCAACAATAAATACGGTTTTCCTGAACTTGGTGTAGAGGACAGCTTAGGTTGATTGCTTTAAGATGAAATAATCTTTCATCCTTTAGGTTTGGAGAAGTAAATCGGGTACAATACATGGAGAAGACAGTGAATTAAAGTAGGTTTTTTCCCCCCAAAGAGCATGATAAATGTCAGCAGAATGTTTGGAAACGTAACATGAGCAGAACAAGAGCATTGCTGCTGGGTGCATTGCCTAGCTTTTTCATTCTGGGAAAAAAAGGTAGTGGAAGCCTGTAGAAATGCAAGTTTTAGTGATGAAGAGCTGCTGGTTCTTTGTCCTTAGGTTGCAAGTCCAGAAAAATATTTAACAACTTCCTGTCTTGGTTAGGCTGGTAAAAACAGATTATGACGGGAAAGTGAGGGAGTGGCTTCCTTTGGATTTTGGAGCACTCAAGCATGTAACTTGTTCATGTTATAGCTGGTTACCAGGGCTTACCTACGTAATTCTTCATAACTTCCGGATAGTCTCCTCTGTAAATTGGATTTGCAAACCATCCCAAATGGAACTGTATGTATCTTTCAGCAGCGTCTCTATCAGTTTGGCTGTGTGGATCAACGGGTTCACCCCAGCCACTAGTTAGGGAAATTC